GGGACAACGGCCGCAGTGGGATGGCACCCAGGGTGGGTCAAGGCCCGTAGTGGGACAAGGATGATGCCCACGGTGGGACGAGGATGGTGCCCACGGTGGGACGAGGATGGTGCCCGCGGTGGGACGAGGATGGTGCCCACGGTGGGACGAGGATGGTGCCCACGGTGGGACGAGGATGGTGCCCACGGTGGGATGCGGATGGTGCCCATGGTGGGACGAGGATGATGCCCGCGGTGGGACGAGGATGGTGCCCGCGGTGGGATGAGGATGGTGCCCATGGTGGGACGAGGATGATGCCCGCGGTGGGATGAAGATGATGCCCATGGTGAGATGAGGCCGATGCCCGCAGCGGGCCGGGGCTCCCCGCCAGCCTGCAGGGAGGCGGCCGCGGGCTCCGCATACCAGCCGCCTGCAAAGGGAGGCTCTGTTTATCCCTTGACGGATTTTTTCCTGCTCGCCGGAGCCTGGCTCCTGGGCCCGTCCAACAGCCAGAGACCCGAACGGCACGGCCCGCTCACAGCCGCCGGCGCGCTGGATGAAACCGTGCTCGCCTGGCCCTGGCCCTGCCCCAGCGCCGGCCGTGCTGCCAGGGGACGTGCTGGGAGGGGACGGTGCTGGGGACACTGTCTGGGGTGGGGTGGGGGTGGGGATCCCCGAGCTGGGGTCTGCGGATGTTCTCCCCAACTCAGCTTTGTGAGGAAGAGGAGGATGCTCGGCCCTGCTGGGGCTGGTGGTGGGGTCAGGGATGCGGAGGTGCAGGCATCCCCACACTGGGGGGGACCAGGACCAGCCCTGGGGTCCAGAGAGGCTCCAACACCCCAATACTTCCCCTCCACAGGCAATTCCTCTAGAGAGGGGGAGGGCAGGGCACGGTCCAGCCATCTCCAATGGAAAAGCTGAGACAGGCGGGTGAGAGCTGCCGGCCCGCGAGGCACAAAGCTGCCCTTGATCTGCCCAGAGCCTGGCTGCTGCCTCCTCCTCCTCCTCCTCCTCCTCACATCCACCATGAGCACTCAGGGCTCTCAGCAATAGGAGAGGCATGGGGAGCCCCAGGGATCCCTCCAGCACCCTCCTCCTCCCCGCACACGGCAAAGGCGTCCGGTGCCCGGTAGCGCTGACACCCCGGGAAGGGCTGAGCTTCCCCCTCCCGTGGGCCCACGTGAGCCCAGTTCAACCCAGGGGAAATAACAAAGCGAGGCTGAGGAATGTAAAACAAAAAAACCCAAAACCCACCCAGGGAGAGGCTGCAGCCCTGGCACGGCCGGAGCATCGCTTCCTGCTGGGCTCTGCCACGAGCCCTGGCTGTCCCCTGTCCCCTGCCCCCAGGTCTGGGGCAGGAGGGGGGGTGGGAAAGGCCACGCAGGGAGGACAGGATGAGGGTGGGAGAGCAGCCGGCAGTGAAGCCCCCGACCCCGTGGGGTGTCCCCAGTCCCTGTGGGATGTCCCCACCCCGCCGGCTGCCTCACCTTGGTCACAGCCATGGCACAGGCGTGTCCCCAGATCTCGATCAGCTGCTGCCGCCCAAACCGGTAATCCTCCAGCAGCTCCTTCTCGATGGCCTCCGCCTCCGCCTTGCTGCAGGGGGGGAGCGGGCAGCAGTGAGGACAGGGGGACCCCCCGGACCCCCCCCCTCCCTTCCAGCCGAGCCCCTCAGCACCCCGCTCTGTCCCCAGGGTGAGGAGCAGGGGATGCTCGGGGGCACGGGGTGAGCAGGCTGGGGGCTTGCAGGGCTCGAGGTGGGCACGGCCGGCGGCTCTGGGCTGGGGATGTGCACGCTCGGCACATTCGGGGGCCCGGCACGTCGGGGTGGGGGCTGTATTTCGTGCGAGGCACGGCCCTGGCAGCGGCCCCGGGCTCGTGGGGATCGGGCTGTTATATAAAGGCGAACAATGCTGCGGTTGTTCCTTTGCTGCTGAGCCCAGAAGTTGGCAGGGCCGGGGAGCCTCCAAATTGGACAATAATTGTTCACATCTGTTGGCTCACCTGCGCCACGGATGGGAACAGCGTGTGCCGGCTCCAGCGCGCGCTTGGTGTGGAAGGGATGGAGAAATCCAGCCCCCGGGAGAGGCCGGAGTCGGGATGCCGGCAGCTTGGGGATGAAAACCCGCAGGCCTGTACGGGGGCTGGAGGGCCCCGGCCATGCTCTTGTTTTGGGGGTGCACACTCACACCCTGCTTGGTCCCAGCTGCGGGGAGGGGTCACGTTGGCCCCCCGCCACGGGAATGGTGGGGTGCATCCGGCCCCGGGAACCAGAGGGGTTACGGGGTTGGGGTCCTGCTGGGTCCCTGCCTGGGGAGTGGCCCCATGTCCCCTCGTGTCCTGGCAGAGCCCCCACTGCCCCACACGCCCCATAACAGGGTGTTCCCTGTGTGTCCTGGCAGAGCGCAGAGACCACCGAGAGCCGACATCCCTGGGGCATCCTGGCAGACCCCAGAGAGCCCCCAATTCCCCAGCTGGTCTGGCTGACTCCCCTCCCCATCCCACACTGCCCCATAGACCCACCATGCCCCCCCCCAAAAACCCCCAGACCCCATGCCCTGGCTGTGCTGACAGATCCCCTCAACCTCATAGACTCTGGCTGTGCTGGTTGACCCCATAGACTCCCCCTCACCCTCTGCACATCCTGGCAGACCCCGCAAGACCCCAGTGCCCTGGCTGACCCCCCAGAAAAAAACTCATCCCACCCGATCCCATCCAGCCCGCCCCACTCCATCCCAAATCCTTTGGTGCCCTCTAGTGAAGCCCAGCCCAGCCCCAGCCCCACAGGAGGGTCCTTTGGGCAAACAGAAGGGGAAAAAGGGGCCAAATACGGCCCCCCCTCCGGTGGTGGTGGGGGAAGTGGCTCTGAGCGGGCCCCGGCACAGCTGTGTTGTTGGTCACCCAACAAAAGGCACATTTCGGCTCTGACAAAATTCCCCACGTCTGCTCCAGGGGAGAACATTGCCCGTAATCGCTGCTGGCAGGGAAACCTGGGCCCCGGCCCGGGCTGGCTCCCGCTGTCCTGGCATTGGCCCCAGGGAGGGGGGGACACACGTCACGGGGCTCCCGGGGTCCTGGCTGGCTGCCCACCCCCCGGAGCAGCATCGCCCCCAAAACGCTCCGGGGTGCACATTCGCTCCCCGCTCGCCCCAGGTGTTGCAGTGGGGCTTTGCTAAAGGGCCTGGGGTCGTGGGGGGGAGCGTGGGAATGTGGCTCCCGGGCCCTGTGCAGGGGTAGGTGCTGCTCAGAGCCCAGGGGACACCCAACAAAGCCCAGTCCAACCCACTTCCCTGTGTTTCCCAGAGGGGGACGGTGGGTGGCTGGGGCTGCTGCTGGGGCAGAGGCCTTACGGGGAGCGGGAGGAAGAGGAGTTGATGGATGAAGGGCTCAAGAGCACCCCCAGGGTGTGTGTGTGTGTCCCCACCGTACCCCATCCCTGGAGCAGAGCACCCCAGCTCCGCACCCCAGTTCTGCATCCCACCTCTGTGTGTCTGTTCCCACCCCACACCGGCTCAGCTCAGCTCCGGGACCCCCCTCGGGAGGCAACAGCCCTCCCCAAGAGCGGGGTGTGCCCGTCTGTGTCCCCCCCTCCCCGCCCCGCGGCGGGTCCCCCCACTCCGCTCCCCGCGCTCCAGGAGACATCCCTGCCGCAGCCATGGAGACCCGGGATGCGGTTGCTCTGGCAACCGAGGCTATTTGGGTACCAGCCCCCCTCCCCCCCCCCCCCTCGCCCCCGCGGCTCGGGGGTGCGAGGAGCCGGGGTGGGGATTGCCCTGGGGGACCGACTGTCCCGGGGGACACGCGTGGGGACAGCGCAGGGGCAGGAAAGCGCCGAGTCTCTGCCCGGAGGAGCGCGGGAGCATCAGAGGGGGGAGGAACCGATTCGAGGGCTGGGTCCCGGGGCAGCGCGGGGCGGGGGGGGGGGGGTCCCGCCCCACCACCCTCTCGGGGTCCCCACCACGTCCCTCGTGGACCTGGCGCCGGCCACGTCCCTGAGGGCAGCGGGGACCAGCCCAGGGTGAGCCGGAGCGGGGCGGTGGGGTGGGCACACACACACACAAAACTCCGGCAGCCCCGGTATGGGGCGCACGGTGAGGGGCACGAGCGCGGCGGGACCCCGGTATCCCCCCCCCACCACCCCGAGGCTCGCGGTTTTCCCATTGCGCGGTCCCGGGGGTGTGTGGAGGGACTCCCCCGAGGCCGGGGGGGGGGGTCCCCGGACTCACCTGAGGTACCGGGGCGGCTCCCGGGCGCGGCCGGGCGCGGAGCTCATCCCGGGCAGCGGCTGAGCCCTGCGGGAGCGGCGGCAACGCGACCCCCCCCCCCCCAACCTCGGACCCCCCCCCTCCCCGCCGCCGGCGGCGGCTTTTCATGGTGCCGCCCGGGGGGAGGCGGCTTCGGCTGCCCCCGCCCCGCCCGACCCCCCCCCCCTCCCCGGGAGCATCGCACCGGCCCCGGCCCGCCCCGCGCCCGCGGAGAGAAGAGGGGGGAGACACGGGAGAAATCGCGTCTGTGAGCGCCCCCCCGCCCCCCTGCAAGCAGCATTTGGGGGGGGAGGGGGGCAGCTGCCTCCCCTCCGCTCCGTGCAACGGGATGGCGTTAAAAGACTTAAAATCGGTGTTTTTCACCCCAGCCCCGCTGGAAGCTGCGTCTGTGGCATCAGCGAGCGCGGGGTAGGGGGGGCTGCAGGGCCGCCCCACCCGGCGCCTGCCAGACCCCGACCGGGACACGGGAGGACCCCAGCCCCTCTGGGGCGCCTTGGGCCACCGGAGCAGAGCCCGGCTCAGCCCCGCGGCGAGTATCCACCTCGGGGCTGGGGGCCACATCCCACTACTCCCCCCCCCCCCCCCCCCCCAAGCCACCCCGGGTCGGGGGGGGGAAAGCGAGAGCCAGGACCCGCCCCCAGGCACACATGAGCATGGAAGAGCAGCCAATGTCCCCAGAGCAGGTGAATTTTTTCCCGGAGCTGGGGGGGAAACGTGGATGGGAGCGTGTGCGACATGGAAACACACACAGGAGCGTGTGGGACACAACAGATCCAGGTGGTTTTAATAACAGGGGGGGTCAGGGCACCCCGGGGGGGCTGGTTCCAGGCTGGGGGGGTTGTTGCCATGCCGGGGGGGCCGGCAGCCCGCGCTGCCCCTCAGACATAGTACTGCAGCCCGAATTTCTCGTTGTCCATCTCACCCGTGGGCCGCAGGTAGTAAAGCTCGTCCGTGGTCGGGGGGACCCAGCGGTCAGTGTGGAACAGGGACTCACCCACCTGGGGGGGGACACACGGAGGGCTGGGGGGGGCGCAGCCACCGTGCCAGCTTGTGTGTCCATGTGTCTGTCTGCATGTCCATGTGTCTGCTAGTCCATCCACGTGTGTCCACGTGTCTGTTCACATCTGAGCGCGTGTCCGCCCGTCCGTGTCCAGGTGTGTGTCCCCATGTCCACATCCGTGTGTGCCCACATGTCCGTCTCTGTCCGTCTGTACGTGTCTGTGTCCGTATGTCTGTGTGTGTCTATGTGTCCCTGTGTCCACATGCCCATATCCGTGTGTGCCCACGTGTCCGTGTCCATATCCATGTGTCTGTGACCAGGTGTGTCCATATGTCTGTGTGTGGCCGTGTGTCTGTGTCCATTTGTGCGTGTGTCCCTGTGTCCACATGTCCCTATCCGTCTGCATCCATCTGTGTCTGTGTGTCCATGTCCACGTGTTCATGTCTGTGTGTCTGTCTGTGTCTGTCCATGTCCACATGTCTGTGTCCATGTCCATGTGTCCACATGTCCGTGTGTCCGGTTTCTCAGCCCCTCTCAGCTTTCCAAGAGCTGTGACACTGACCCAAACCCATGGGGACGGCTGGTTCCCGCCCCATTGCACCCAGGCAGCCCCCGGAACAGCCCCCCCTGCACCCCTCACCCCGGGCACAGCCCCCCCCCACGGACGGGCACAGCCCCCCCCCCCCCCCCAGGAATCACAAACCTTCCAGCCTGGGACGTCTTTCATGATTTTGGCCTCTTCATCCAGGTTCTCCCGCAGCAGGCGGAGGGTCCTGCGGGTGAGGGGGGACGTGAGTCCCGGGGGCGGGGGGTGGGGGGTGTGTGTCCGTGGGGGGGGTGTCCGTGTGTCCATCCCCGTCCCCCCTCCCCGATACCTGCGGTCCGACTCCGCCTGCAGCAGCGGCATCAGCGCGATCCGCGCTTCCAGGTCCTCGATGAGCAGCCGCCTGGGGGGGGGGGGGAACACCGGGGGGGGGTGTCAGAGCCCGGCGGTGGAAATCACGGGGGGGAACCCCGAAATAAAGGTGAGGGGGGGGGGGGCGGGGGGGCACCTGCGCTCCCGGTTCCATTTGATGAGGGTGTAGTAGCCCAGCAAGAGGCTGCCGATGCCGAGCGCGAAGAGGCTGTAACCTGCGGGGGGAGCGGGTGAGGGCGGGCACCGGGGGGGGGCACCGGGAGGAACCGGGGGGGCACCGGGGGGGGAATCTTTCCCCACGGAGCCGCCCCCCGCCCACCTGAGAGGCCGCGGCGCGGGAGGTGCCGTTTGTAGTCGATGGGGCCGTACCCGCCCGGGGGGGCCATGTCCTGCTTCACCTTCCCCGCCGCCATCGCGGCGGCCGCGCTGCGCGTCACTTCCGCCGCGTCCCACCGGAAGCGCCTCCGGGGGGGGGGGGGGGGACGGGGGGAACGGACACGGCGACGGCACACCACGTGACACCGGCTTTCCCACACCCCCCAATAGCACCGGCCGCGCCTTAAAGGGGCAACGCAGCCGGTGGGTCCCACCCCCGCCGCTCTCGGTGCGGCTGCGGGACAGACGGACGGACAGACCGCCCACCCCCGGGCGGGGATAGCGGGGGGCGCCTGCATGCACGGATCCTGCCCCCGGGGGTGCTGAACCCATCGGTGCACGGCCACTCCCGGGGCACCCCCCTCTCCGTGGGACCAAACCCCCAGTGAGGTGCGGGGGGCGGCTGCTGGAGCTATTGGGAGAGTTGGGGGGGGGGTGTGGGGTGTGTTGGGGGTGCCCCCGGGGTGCCCCCAGCTGCGTGAACCCGCCAAGGCTGCGGCACTGGGGAGCGCGCCCTGAGAAACGCGCACCCACCGGCGAGCACGCAGCAGCAAAAGCGTGCAAGCGCGCAGCAAAAAAGTGCACGCAGGCAGCAAAACAGCCTGCACCCACCCAAAAGCGTGCACCCGCCAGCGAGCAGGCAGCAAACAGCCTGCACCCACTTGCAAACGTGCACCCAAAAGCGCGCACCCGCCAGTGAGCGTGCACCAAGGCTGCAGCCGCGGGCAAGCACGCAATAGTACGCTTGCCCCCCCCCCCCCCCCCCCAAATTGCACCCACCGGCGAGCACGCAGCAAAACCCACGCCAGCGTGCACCAAAAAGCGCGCTCGCGCTGGGGTGCGCACCCGCCAGTGACCAAGCCCCCCAGCCCCTTGCACCCAGACCCCCGGTTGTGCTCTGTCCCCCCCCAGCCCCAAGGCACCCACTGTTGGGGTGGCACCGCAACCAGCACCCACCATTTTATCTGTGCAAACCCCCCAGCCCCGGCTGCACCCCAGCTGTGGGGACCCCCCACGGCACCCCACGCCTCCCTGGGTGTTTTTTGCCTGCACTCCCAGACTCTGTGAGCCCTTGGATGCTTCAGATCAAGGTCACTCATGTTTTAAACTCTAATGGGCGGCTGTAATCCCCCAGATGCTGCGGGGAATTAATCATTTTGCAGATGGCCATGGGGCAGACACCCACCGGGATGCTGGGGGCGGGAAAAGAGCACCCCAGGGAGGGGGGACACGGGGAAGGGTGAGCCCAGGGATGCCCGCGGTCCTCGTGGGATGCACTGGTTGATGTGGGAAAACCTCCTGCTCCTTGCTCCATCCTGAGCCGGGATCTGCCCCCGCACCCACTGCAGCTCATTCAGCCTTTATGGGAGATCAACTTGCTTGGCTTCCGCGGTCCCAGGTCGCTTCCTTGCAACTGAGTGTGCTGGGGAACGGAGCGGGGGGCAAAGGCCCTGGGAGGGGAAGGAGCTGCCACCCCGGGACCTGCTCGTTGGCTCCGGCCTCGTCTTCCTGCCCCCACTTTCAGCAGAGGTGGGGGTTAACCCTGACGGTGCCCTGTGATTCTTACTGGCAACCCCCAGGGAAGCGCATCTGGAAAACACGGGCGTCACCTCCCTGTCCAGGCATCTTCCCGGTGGGAGCCCCTGGAATAGGCTGCACCTTTGGGCACAACTACAAATCCAGGGCTCCGGCAGCTTCTTGGCCCATTGAAAAAACAAAACCCATCCCCTTGGTCCCTTCATGGTTTGCTTTGCTCATGCTCCGAGCCTGGCCAGAGCCCAGTCAAACCTCCTTTTCCTCCTCCTCTTCCTCCTCCGCTGCCATGGTTCCAGCTGCAGCTTCCCTGGGGGTTTCCCACCCCCCAGCCCCACGCCAGGAGCTGTTTCCCCACTTCCTGCATGGTCCCTTCATCACCTTCCCCAGGCCCCGAGCTCCGGGGTCAGTCCCACTACCCTGAGACCCTGAGCTTTTCCTTTTGAGGATGCTGCAGCCTTGGGGGGTGGGGGGGGGTGTCACCCCTGCGGCAGCTGCTCCCCACCCTGCCTGGCCTGATGGAAATCTCCTGCTCCATTTGTTTTCCCAGCTCTGAGCTGGTAGAAAGTCATCGGTGGCTTGTGATTAAGCTCACTGAGCTAATGAGCCAGGAAAATGAAGGTGTGGAAGGGATGGGGAGGCAGTATGTTGGGATTTTTCGGTGGGGGAGGACGTAAGGTAAGTGGGAAATCACTCAGGGCACGACTTGGACCAGCTCTGGACTCTGCCAGTGCTCCAGCCCCACCACGCACCTGGGGAAGGCTGGAGAAACCCCCCAGAGCCACGCGGAGGGGGCAGGGGCTTACAGTTCAGGGGGTGAATTAAAGACGCTGGACGAGGGGAAGGGGAAGAGGAAGTTCAGGCTCGTTTCCCAACAGCCAGGGTTGTGTTGCTGGGTTTGGAGGATTTAACGCTTACCTGGTGATTTTTCCGGTGGCAAATCATCCGAACGAAGCCGGCGGGACTTTGGCAGGACGCCCACGCGCATTCCCTGATCCAGCCCGGCTGTGTGAGGGGAGGGAGAAGAAAAGTGAGGAGAGATCAGTCAGCTCGTTTACAAAGAGAAACCCCCTTCCAATTTCTACATTTAACTCCGACCAGGTCTGGTGGCTTTGCAGGAGCCCGAGACTCCCTGGGTCGGTGTGGGGGGCTCAGGGAGGCTCCATCTGCTGGGAAAAGGGAGACCAGAGCCCTGCTCGGCTACTAGCTCCATGCAAAGGCATCCCAGCATGGTTCCTGCTGCCGGCTGATTGCCAGGAGGTGCAAAACCCATTGGGTTTTGTTTTGCTGCCTCCCCTGCAGCGGGTCGGAGGGTGCTGGGGGACGGGCTGGAGCATCACCTCGGCATTGCTGGGGATACACTACCAAAAAAACCCCTTTTTCGAGAAGGGGGCCGAGTGCCCAGGACTGCCCCCCTCCCAGTGAGGGGGAAGGAATGGATTTGATGAAGTTTCCACCTATCACCTGAACCCCTAAACTTCAATTTACCCTCTTCTAGGGCTGTCAGCTCCAAACCTCACAAATCCCATCCAACAGCTCCGTCCAGCCCTGCTGAAATGGGGGCGTGGGGTGTGAAGCTGGTTTTGTAGCACCCCCCACCCACTTATCTCACAGACCTGGGGCTAGTTTTAGCAGCATCCTTCAAGGGATCAGTCCTTTCTCTGCAGGACAGTGGCCACCAGGAAGAGCACCCAAGGAAGAGCACCCGAGTGCTCTCCCGCTCTTAAGTCTGACTTAAAAGCAAAGCTTTGTTACTGCAGAAAGGGAACAAACAGAAGTTTTGTTTTTCACAAGTCATTATTTCACAGCTTGGCTTGTCTGACAGGTTTCCTTTTGAATAAATTTTATCCTTAGGAGTGGAATTCCTTATTCAAATATTTGTTATTAAGGCAACTGACTAAGCAACACCTCAGTATTCCCCTCCGAACTGCCTGGAGGGAGGGGGCTGGGCTGGTTCCAGCATCTCCTCGCCCACCCGCTCCCTGCCCTGAACAAAACCCCGAAGTGTTCCAGCCTGGGACGGCCTAAAACACCTCGACAACTTAGTTTCCCCATCACTGCCCAAGTCCGGTGTGGGGAGTGGGGGCTGACATGAAAAACAGCTTTTCAATATTTTACTTGTATTCTAAGTCTCTCACCGGTGCGCCTTAAACCTACTGCAGCTGTAATGATGAAGAGCAGCTCCCTTGTTCATCATTTAGATTTATAGTTTAATAGCAAGGTATTTAAAGACCCAAACTTTCCCTTCTTCGTACTGATCACAACTTTTCTTTCTCCCCAGGCCCAGGACAGCCCCTCAAGGTGCAGGACAGGAGGGAGCAGCTCCCACCTTCTCACGCAAGGTGAGACCCCGAAGCCGGCGTGGAAACGGGGAGTGGGGAGGAGCTGATGCAATCCCACCCCGGCGTTACATGGCTGCTGCAGCACGCTGCTGCTGCTGGGAGTGGGCCAAGGATTTGTGAGATCAGAACGGACCTGGAAGCCTCTTTGCTCCCCTGGGAATCCCCTCGGCGAGGAGTAAAGCTGAGCATTCGGGGGGTGGGTCATGCCATGGGGCAGCCCCGGCAAGCAGAGGGAAAACTCATCTGTAGCTGCTGGGAAATGGGAATAAAAGAGGTTGTGGACACTATTTCAGGGTGGAGTGGCACGGGCTTAACGCTTCAGGTGCTGGCAATATCTAAATTAGCACAACAGAATTACCTCGGTCACTTTTGGGATGCTGACCCAGGGTTCAGCACCTCTCTACATTACCTGGTTCAGCTGCCCCCCCTCCCCGAGCCTGCCAGGTTCAGGCACCACCATCTTCTACCACTTTAATCCACAACAGCTCGATGGTTTTGGTACCAAAATAGCCCAGTGTTAATAGCTTGCATTTCAGCAGTTTTGCAGAAAAAGGCTTCCTTGGTAAGAGCCTTCACCAGCACAGTAATTAAACAGCTTTGAGGAAAATGAAATAGCTTGAATTAAACTGGTTCTTGAACTTGAATATTAAGAATTTGAGAGATTTTTCCAATTCCAGAAGGCCAGAAGAAGCTTGCAAAGGACCCAAACCCCCAAGCCCCCACATCCTACGAAGGTCAAACATTTCAACGCTGTGTGAACGCAGAGGAGGGTTCAGGTCAAAGCTGACCCGGTCACTTCCAGCGGAGCCGGGAGGTGGGCTGGGGGGTCCCCGGCTCTGCCTGTGCCGCTCTTGGCTGGCGGTGCAGATCTGCTCGTAAAGCCAGCCTTCCTCGCTGTCACCTCCTCCTCCTCCTCGCCGCGCTGCCCCGCAGCACGCAGACACTCCTCCCAGCGCGTCGGCTCTTGCAGTTCCAAAATGGAGTTTTACGACGCCAAAACAAATCATTCCTGCTTTTGCCCAGAAAAAGCCACTTTTCACCCTCAGCGCTTTCAGGCGTTTCCAAGGGGGAGGCTCACCAGAGCCCAGCCGGACCGAAACCGGCACTTCCGAACAGCATCTTCCCCCTCGCCGTGGGGCAGGGGCTCAGCCCGTGGCTGGAAGCGGCGATCAGAACATTCCTGGCAGGATGAGGCTGGGATGCTTGGTGAGGATCGGAGGGTTTCGTTTTGCCCAGTGAGGACCAGTTAGTGTCACAGACACAGACCGACCGCCCAGGGCTCGATCCAGCACGTGCACAAATCCCGAGTTACCGTTGTGCCATCTGGCCCTCGACGATACAAACGCACACGCTGCGCATGGAAACCCGAGCTGAAAAAAAGAAACCCCGTATTTTCACCCTGCCTTCAAGCTGGGTTCATCCTCGAGCAGGAACCGCGTCCTTCTTTCCTCTCTCCTCCCAAACCAGCGACTCCAGAGCACGAGCTGTTCCTTCGCCTTGCTGCAAGATCACCGTGAGCCGAAAGACGACGTGTGCGGCTGCGGGGAACTGCCAGTACCAGGAGACACCGAGGTGTGGTGGGACTTGCTCCTTCCCAGGCTGCTGAGTGATGCTCCAACGGCTTTGTTTTTATCCGGAATCCGGGACAGAAATATTCTGGCAAGATTCAAATTGGCAATCTAAATCTTCCCTTTCTCCTCCCAGAGGGTAGCGATCCACCGGCTTTTTCGTGCTATCCTGGCGTTATTTAAATAAACTTATGAATGCATTAAAGTATTTCAGGAGGAACACGGGGTTGAATTTCTGGTTTTGGAATTGCAGAGCAAGCACAAGTGCAGCTTGCAGCCCGTTCCGTGGCGTGAGGCAGGACACAGGCATCTTGTTTAATCTTCAGCTTGCTTACTTGGGGGGGGGGGGGGACAAGTTTTTATGACAGAACACACCCAACAGATGAAAATCAGCGGGTAAGTGAGCGCAGAGAGCAGCAATTCCGGGGCGAGATGGGCTGAAGGGGCCTTTGTGTCTTGTTTTTGCCTGGAGAATGTGTGCCCTGTCCAACGGCATCTGGGAGGACATTTAATCCATTTGTAGCTTTGAATTTCAATCCATGAAATTCCACATGGACTTCATCTTCTCTTCTCCTTTCCTGCTCTCCCATCAACCTGTTTTTTGGGGAAGAAACCGTGTTCCTGGCAGAGGAAAGGAACAGACCACAACCTTGTCTCGAGCGGCCTCACCAATACACGAGTGGTGCAGAAGAAGTTTTATCTCAAAACCGATCTACTCGAAAGAAGAGGCAGACCCAACAGTTTGTCCATTTGTTTATTGTCATTCAAATACTAAAAATCCCTCACAATACAATATACAGTTATTGATTTCAGATTCTTCCACCATTGAGACTGGCTATCAGGTTTTAGTGGGAATTTTTTTTTTTTTTTTAGTTTTTGTTTTATTATCAAAGATTTAGAGTCACAATAAATACAAGTGACAAAAACATACCCTGCGCTGGTGTAACGTTACTCTGTTACACTCCTTTGTTAGGTGATTATAAACTTTTTTTTATCTTCTTTTAAAAAAAGCACGATGCAAATTATTTCGCTAAATGCAATATACAGCATAACTCTGCCTTAAGCAGACAAACACTACTGCGGTTCCTTGAGGTCTTTTTGCATTTTATATATATATATATATATATATTTTTATATATATATATATATTTATTATTTAAAAAAAAATGCCTTCTGTGCCCCCTCCTCCTTCCAAAAGGAGGAAGTGAGAAATGAGCCAAAATAGGGTTTCTGACGAGACCTGCCTAAGCCTGCTCTGCTCTACTCCTGTAGCCCAACTCCCCCATTTTCCATTCTGAACTGTATTTTGGTAAATTTTCTTTTTTTTTCCTTAGTAAGCAAAAAAATGTGACCACTAGGCTCTGAGAATTCCAAGGTAAAGGAATGGTTCTCTAAAATGATGATAAAAATATCTATAGAAAAAATCCCGACCCCAAGCTATCTCGAATTTAAGATTCACCAAGAGTCTCCCTATTACAGCTGGAATGCCATGTACAGGAACCCCTAGAATACAAAAATTAGCAAAGTCACCCTTTACAAGAACTGGAAACGCTGTCCAAGTCATCTGTGCTAGAAAAATAACAAGTTCAACCAGGCCACTTGTGTTTCTGAGCAAAGGACTGCAACCTCGCCAACGCTCAGAAATCAGCTAATAAATTAGGTTATATAAAAAAATAAAATTAAAAAAACCACACAGCTCCCAAATTGCAACACGGGTTTCAAATGAAAATCCGGGGTTTATTTCACAAGTTGCTAAAATCTAAGTACAATAGTCATTTTCATTATTACTGTATTATAAAATCTTGTAGTCGCAACGTCTCAAAGAAAGGTTATATGGCTTGCAAGAACCAACGCTGCTCTAACCCTCTCCCCAGGAGAGGGGGGAAGCAAGCAGCATCTGAGCAATGTCAAACCAGCTCATGCAGCAGTTTGCAGCGAAGCAGTGGAGGGTCGGGGAAACGGGACATGATGCCGGATACTCCACCTGAATGATACCGATTTACGGGTTAGACTGTCGAGCAGCACGTTCAGTCTCTTGTTCTGAGGGAGCTTTAAGTAAAATGGTCTTTTTTTCCGGGAGAGGGCCGATGAGGTGACTTTCGGACAGCTCTGCGGCAGAACTAATAGCCCTTACGGAGGCAGGAATCCCAAACATGACAGCAGTAGAAATAAACCAAAGATTTGTTCTTTAAAGCGAGCCTAAACCCCCCTCCTTCACACAATTCCCCAAAAATTTAACCTCTAGGGCGTAGTAACACCATTATGTGAATAGTCCATCTAATTGAGCTTTTCTGTTTGCTTGTTGGTTTTTCAGGGTTTTTTTTCCCTGCAAGAAGGGGCACATACAGATGGGGAGGGGGAGATTTGGAAAGGCTGTAACAAGTGTTTTAAGGACTATCTAAACCTAGCGTGGTGCCTCAACTAGCCCAGTTCAACACTACTCAACTGAATATGCAGTTTTGACTACAAAGGAAGAAGCCATTCTTCTGGCATTTAACACATGTATACCACTTAAGTCTTTTCCTGGTGCATTTATCTAAAACTCTGCAGAAACACATATGCAATAAATATATCCTCTAACTTACGTGCAACACTCCAAGAACCACAGATTAAAAACAATGTCAAAACGGGTTTGAATCCCGACAGCCTTATAGCCACGTAGCACTTTCTGTTCACTTACAAAACCTTCAGAATAATTCTGTCTCAATACCTAAGGTAGTATTCGTGGGTTTTATTCTACATTAAATGAAAACAGAGTGTGGTCTGGCAACATTCTGTTTCTAAGACAGTGTGTGCAGACTCATTTTTATTTTCAGTTCCAAATCTTAAAATAAGTCTTCTCAATTATTTTAAGGCTTATTTTAAGTCTCCCCTATCCATTGTGCTGAAATGAAAATTTACAAGCTGCTGTACTGAACTGGCGGTATCCAAAAAAGTTTTGACATGGCTTTTATAACAGGCAAGTTTAATACTTCTGCCTCTCTTTCCATTCCTCTTCCTTCCAGCATCAGCTGAAGCTAAAGCCACCCCAACACTGGAAAGAAATTGTGAAGCTGTCCAGCCTTCCCAAAAAGGCATTTGGATTTTTAGTTTGAGAAGTTTTGCTTGTTCTTTTTAAACAAATGCACTCTTCCCAGGTGATTTAACAGTGCTAGACATTTGCATCAATGATGAGATAATGCAGGCAATTTATGACAAGAGAGAAAAAAAACCCCAAAAAAACTCCACACAAGTAAGGAGCTGAAACTTTTTCTTAATATTTCAAGGTGCAAAAATAAAATGCACTCAATTTCTCTCTCCACATCTCCCAATCCAAAATATCTTGGAATGAAAAGAAAAATTAAAAACTCAAACCAATTCCTCTCATTCCCATTTAGCTCTTAATATACATTTGTAAAACAAACAAAAAACAAAGTCAAATTGAAATTCTAGGGCTTTATACAGCAACAAATACCATTTTGCAAAACTAGGTTTTCTATACTACCGAACAGTTTTCAAAGTATCTAAATACTGATATTCACACAACAGAAGAGGGGCTAAAACGGAACGAGTTTTCTTCTTCACTATGCAATAGTTAGATCCGAAGGGGGACAACCCTATACAGTTATTGGTTTAAAGTTAGATCTAACAGTAACTGCTAAGAAAATAGATTCAGCATAGACTGAATAGTAACCCCTTCCCCCTTTTCTTTTATATATAGATATATAGATATATATATATAATTTTGCAAATAATTCTTATCAGCACTACTTCTAGTACTGATATGCAACATAAGTAGTAAGGCATGTATTTCTGCCACTTGAATTCAACTTTAATTTGGGAGAAGCACAGGGAAGGAGGAGGGAAGATGATGAGAAAAAAAAAAAAAACAAACAACAAAACAAAACAAAAAACCAAAACCAAAACCAAACAATTAGACCTGATGGATTTGGGTTTAACCTGTGGAATCCCCAAAATATATTAAAACCACGTAGAAACTTGTCCTTAAAGCAGGGTTACCTAAAGCTCTATCAAAAATGAAATACTGAAGTGATGGACAGAGGAGCATGCTTGGTACGCCTGGAAGAACGGAGCACTAGAGGCTCAAGGCAGGCAGTCCTGCCCCCACCACGTGCTGGCAGGGTCACTGGGCCACCGCAGGGGACCAGCAGCGCCCGCGTCTCGGCGCCATCGGCAGAGGAAGGAGCCCGCGACCCGACGGCAGCCTCCCGCTGCTCTGCGCCCTCCACTCGCCCTTTCTGATTGCGTGCAGCTTCTGGAATTAATTTTTTTTTTCCTTTTTTTTTTATTTTTTTTGTTTGTTTTTTGTTCCCCTCCCACCCCCCCTTTTTTTTCCTTTTTCTTTCTTTTTTTTTTTTTTTTTTTTTGAGTAAAATTGCTCAAAACAACAACAACAAAAAAAACCCTCCAAAAAGAAAATAATCAAAAACAGTTCCACTTTTCAGTCTCTGGGAACATTTGAAAGGCCCAACTGCTCTTCGCTGAATTAGAAAGACTGAACAAAGGTGTTTGTCTATTCAGTAAATTAGATTTTAGACTACCAACAGTTCAAAGTCTATTCAAACAGAATCCAACAAAAGTGAGAGACTTCTGCGCTGGTTCCCACCTACCAGACAAGTTTTGGTGGCAGCCAGTCCCTTGGAAAAAAACAAAAAAACAAAACAAAAAAAACAAAAAAAAAAAAACAACAAAAAAAAACAAAACAAAAAAAACCCCAAAACAAAACAAAACAAAAAAACCCCCAAACATACTCAACCAGAATTTGAGTTTGCACTTATTTATCATTAGCTCATCACCAGAAGATTTTGAAACATTATAATCTGTAGACTGCCTTCCTCACTGGAGGAGGGGCAGGGAAGAAAAGGAAACATGAACTCGGCTCACTAAATGCATCTGCAAGATTGGGTTGGAATTCCTCTCTCCTTGAACTGACATCCACACTCGATCGCGAAGGAACACCGTGTTCCTGGTGAACGGGTCATTATTAATAAAGAAACCGAAGGCAGAGAGTCGTTTAGTCCTCCTTTTGTGCTGGTGACAAAAAAATCCAAACTAAATACATAAAGCCAAAAAAAAATAAGAATTCTTCCCCTTCCCTGACAGCCTTCATCATCAGTCAATCATAAGAATCTGAGAACCAAATGAGCTTAAGTCTTTCCCACCCACGTGGTGTCATTTTCTCATTGCAGGGACAGCAGCACTCGATGGGATGAGGAGTGGTCTTCTTGCATCCTATAAAGCCTGGGGCATATCCAGCTGGGATTAAAGCAGATTCCACTGTAATGTGGTATAAAAAGGATGGCAGAAACAGGAAAGTCTTCCTCTTGGGCATTCCTCTGCATTATTTCCACGTGGCGGACTGTGGGATGGACCGTGGGGGAATCATATCCAGGAGATATTCACGCTGGCGGTCTACTGCTGAAGACGACTTGTGCACAGCTAAACTAGGATTAACAAAAGGTAAAGCCCCACCTGACGAGATATAAAAGAGAAGAGAGAACAAGTGTCACAGTATGATACAAACACGAGACACCAACAGTGGCAAAACCACACTACTTGCATTTCATCCACATGAAACCAGATTCTCTAAGCATGGGACACTACTAGCCATGCAAGTCAGACACCTTCAGAAGATGAAAGTGTCCAAATTCATCCAAACAAATAGGAGCAAGATTTTGTACCAGAAATGAAGATTTGAGCAGGCTAGAGCTCTCTGCAATGAAATTATGTTTTAAATGATATATTATGCTGTCAGGAATAAAAAAAAAAAAATTGAAAGAGATCCATCCAATACTGGGCAAGAAAGTAGATCACAAAACAGCTGGTTGCTACAGTGTTTCCTTCCTGGAGATCCTGCTTATCATTTAAGAAAACAAATGACTCTTCTCAAGTCAGATTCTTATACATAGAAAAAAGATTAGATTAGAATTTATAAATTTCCATTTGTTCAAAGCAACAGCTTCAGTTATTTCAAATCCTAAGGAACGCTGGGTGTGCGCACTGTAGCCTCACCTAGAGCAAAACCATCTATTTACTGTACGCTGCTTTCAGCAAAAAGAAAACACCAGTCAAAATGAAACGACCGAATTAAACTCCCAGAAACCAACGACCAACTCCCGCAGCGTGGTGCTGGCTGTGCATACGGACTCAACGATGAACGGTCTGACATTCCATCTGTTTAGTCTACTTGTAAAGGTGTAAAGCGGTAGTTTTTATACGGTAGCACCACCTGATTGCCCCTTTCGAGGTACAGAAACGACACCAAAAGCAAGTGCCAACAGCAATGCTAAGAGCAAAGCCTCATCAGGCTTTCATGCAGGAAGTGTCAAAGAGAAAGCATCCTTACCCAAAGAACTACGATTGTTGGACAGAGTGCAGCTACTAAGTACAAATAAAAGAAACTTTAGAGAAAAATCTACCTGTATTGATGGGAGTCTTCTTCCAGGCGGCAGCGCTGCCCTTGCTGACAGGTCTCTCAGCATGCTTACCTGGCCTACTCCCAAGTGCTGCTGCAGACGATGCATTCTGCAACTTGGGTGACTGGCTAAATGCATGCAACACTCCTCGCGGAGCTCCAGGAGGACCTCGAGACATCTGGCTAGAAGTCTGGTGAGAGAGAAAACGGGAAGACAGGCATAGCAGTTTTCTGTCTCTCAAGTACAACAGCCCCGGTAAATCTTTACGGTCCCTCTCGCCTTTCTCAGCTTCTTCTGACAACACTGGAATGCGTTACTGTAGTTTTAGGGCTGAAAAATTCCAAGACATCTCTACAACAAAGTAAGAATCAGCTTTCTAAAGATGAGGAATTATAATCAACTGCAAAGCAGCGAAAAACGTGCAGTGAAAGCAGCTTCATACACAGGCAACACAACTTCCCTGTCCTAAATAACCAGCACTTTGGTTATTTCAACTCAAAGTGGCACTTAAGCAGATTCTGTCTTCCTCCAACTGGAAGGTGGTTACAAAAGGTGTGAGACCCCCAGTCGCCACCATGGATGGTTGCTACCATCACCTTAAAACTTCACAAGCAACATTATGTGTTCCTGACTCAAGCCAATTTTTTTTTTTTTTTTGCTATCTTAGGTCAATTTACTCTTGTGTCTTTGGTGCTGGAGCACCTCTTTCCATTTGGCACATCCTAAAAAATAAATCAGGAACAGACTTTGCAAGATATGAATTAAACACCTTGGATAATTACAATGACTCTGCAGAAAAACACCACTCTCTTCTGTTCTTCGGGTACCGAGAACATGCTTTAAGTCTTGGGTCTCCACATGACAAAAACCACTTTTACCAGCCCGGTTTTAAGCTTACACTCACACGCACTGGGGAGCTTAAAGAAAGCAAGGTGATGCATTGGTTTTGTGCCCGCAGCCCCAACCCTTGTGCTGGGAGCCTGTAAGCACCAAGACCTGGCTGCTGGCGGACGGAGCCTCACCTGCTTGAGCGAGTGGTGCTGCACTATGGGGTCGGGCTTGCTCTGTACAGGAGAGGCAGTCTGTTGCAGTATCCTCTGCTCAATCTCCTGCTCCTGCTGCAGTGCTTTTACGAAGGCAGCCTTCAGTCGGTTAGTGTGCTCAGCTTTCAAGGCCTTTTTCTGGTTCGATGTCATGCAGGTTTCACACATAATGGTTCCGTTCTTCTCCTCCCTCCAACGGCAGGTGAAGTCAGTCTTACACTGAGCACACATATAGGGCTCGCGAGATGATACAGCAACCGAAACTTTACCTGGAGAACACAACCAGCTTAGCTCAGCTCTGTCTGCGGCTTCTATGAATGAATAATACTTGAGAAACCTCAAAAACATTCCAGCATAAAAAACCCCAACAAACAAAGCAAACCCTCCACCTGTAACTATCCTTAGTCTCAAGCCTTTTGCATTAGTAAATCTTTAGACTCTACTTCTGAGAGTGTGTCTGTAGGTATCCAGCAGATTCTTCTTTAGCTACTGCTTAGAGAGTTCAGCGGTGACGGACAAACACATGGCTGATAGGAAGCGAACAGCTCTGAGGAGAACTGGATGCATTTTAGAGAAATCTTTACAATCAGTGTCTAGCCTATGAGAAATCATAACTTTTTTTTTTAAGACATTTTTTAGGATTTTTAAATAAAACGAGTTTGAAAACTATTAAAGGAAGTGAATCCAAGATTTGACAGAGTATGACAATTTAATTCTGCGATGCCTGAAACTCACTGCTGCCTGCTATCGAAGTGAAGTCCAGGCAGGGAAGACTCTCTCCTTGCCTCTGAGTAACATTTTTAACGCCATCTCACCTTGAGTTTCCAGCAAGTTCTGCACAACTTCTTCCAACCCGACTAAGTAAATAAATTCGTTATTGGCTGCACTTGGCAGGAAGTTCATCTCAGGCGCAGGCGGCTTGGGAGGAGGGATCTCCAGCAGCGTCTTCTCCAGCTGCTTCCGCAAGGCGAGCTTGGCGGCAGCTTGCCGGCTGGCCGGCGAGTCGTTGGAGTTGACGATGGAAGCGGCGCTGGTCGTCGTGGCGTTGGCCTGAGCGGATGTCACGGTGGTACCTTTGATGGAAGTTGGTGAAGCCTGGGAGGGAAGGGGACACAGCTCAGGGACCAACGCCAGCGGGTTCGGCGCTGCCGAGACGCCCGCTCCTCTCCGCCGGGAGACCAGAGGGAGGGAAGCGTGGGGCTGTTTGGGTGTGGTGAAGGCTGGCTGCGTGGGACTAGACCAACAGCCTGCTTCTAAATCTTGTTTTTTTGTGACTGAACAGATCACAATACATACATTTGCTGCAACACTGTACCTCCTGTTACAAATATTACCTGTCATCTAACACTCTAATTCTTTTTCTGAAGAACATCCCTCTACTGATCATTTTTATGAGGTGGTTTTAGAAATTCTAAAGAAGAACTCAGAAACAAGTCCTTT